TCGTCAACCATAACGTTAGTATGGTGTATTAGAGATTTAACACATTAGTTAAATTCAAAATTTGACATTAAAGAGCTATAAAGAAGAAGGCAAGATTAATTAGAAATGCAAGTATATTTTAAACATCTACAAAAACTTTATTCTTTAAACAATTTCAATTATTATTAACTTATCGATATATATATATACAAAAATCGACATTGGCCCATGCATAAACTTGGAGATCACCTCAATGTTGTTCTGAATGATGATGTGTCCATCTCTTTGGGCATTAATTGTTTGCCATTTTGTTGCACTAGAATATGATCCGCACATTCGCGCGAGTTTTTGTTATACAATTTATTCAATTTAATAATTATTTACTTATTCATTTAGTATTTGTGTTATAATAAAAACAACAAAGTTTTTGTAGATATAAAATAATATTTGATTTGAAATAAAATAAATTTAATGCTGCATGAAAATACCGAAGTTACTATTTAAAATTTACTCGTTTAAAATTTTGTTATGTACATATGTTTGGCCATTAGATAAATCATATTATCAAAATAACCGACAACAAATTTGAAAATAAAATTTATCAATCATTTTCTTATTTAGATTTATAGTGTGATTTATCAATCATAGGTGGTTTCCATATGTCTTCACAATGTTTCTTTGTTATTCTCTTATACTTTGCACTTCACAATGTCTTTAATATTGTAGCATATGGAAGGTACTGAACAACGTCTTGTTTGCTTGTTGTTTACAATTTTTTTCAATCGCGGAATGGGAAAACTTATCTCTTCATCAGTAAGGTGTAAGTTTTATTCTTCAAGTTTGATTTAGGATTTTGCTAGTTAGAGTTGAAGAAATTTGTAGATCTTTTTGAAATGGCTTTTTAATGGATAAAAATAGTTTAATGCATTTTTTTTTCATTTATCTTCGTCTCGTAAGCTTTGATTTTTGTTCATCATAGAAAAATACTTAAGATTTAAGGATATTATTTCTTAAATGTTGGTCTTCGTGTGATTGAATGTAAGATTTTTTTATTTGAACTACAAACTTTTTAATAAGAAAAAACCTTTCATATTTCATATGATATATAACTTTTAAAAATAATATAGAAAATATTTTTTTTTCTTAACATTTTACTACGTCAGTTGATTTTTACTAATTGTTTCAATTATAAAATTCATAAACACATTTTTTAGTTTTCTTTATATGTGTAATATATATTTTTGGTAAAACAAATTCATATTATCATGACTAATAAAATCATGTATAGT